TTGGCCAGACTCAATTCGCGCTTTTTCGGTCAAAGAGACTATTTAGCTTGAGTTGAATGTTTGCCAGTCGGTTTTGCCAGAGAGCAACGCCTCGTTGTGGAAACATGATCAGTTTTAGTGCCACGTTCTGTCATGCCCTGGGAGGTGATAAAGTAGTCATGGGGCTGGGAGTCCCAGAATGTGCTATTCTGATTGATAGTGGATTCGCTATTACAACAAGAAGAAGATAATTCTTCAGGATAAAACAGATTCTGTTGTTTTCCTTTTCCGCCGTGCAACCAGCAAAGACCCGAACAGACGCACCTTTCGCCAGGTGGAGATGCTGAACGAGCGGGACCCGAGCCCCAGCAAGGGGGACGCCCTGCTTCGGCTGGTGCAGAGGGAGGGCACCTTTTGGGCCGGGGGCCCCCAGATTTCTGAGCGGGGTTCCAAAAAGAAGGGAGACACGAAAAGCGCGCCTCACTTGTCCCTTAAGCACAACGTTTGGTCACTGTTGGGCGTCCCGTTTTTATATTTTTTAATCAACGTGAAGAAGCTTGGTTGGAGCCAGGTGTTGGCCATGGACTTTTCTTAGAGATCCGGAGGTGATCTCGGACCCTATTTTAGGACATCTCAAGTTTGTCGAGGTGACACCAAAGAGGACACCTGTTTCTCGGCTGAAAGCTCCGGGGTCTTCCAGATAGGCTATGGATGCAGGACCTTTGAGGTGCTTGGTGCATCCGGTCCAAGCGCTTCAACTTGGGCCATGTGCTCCGGACCCCTTCGGCTTGCAATTCGAGCATTGCCCCTTCAAGAGTCTGCGAGGGCTTGCCTGTTGATTTCCCAGTGGGCAAGGGACTCCCTGAATGGTTTTAAGGGATGATCTTTAATATTGCAAGCAAAGCAACCAAGAAGCAATGTAAATTAAATGCCAGGGTTCTCCAACCAAGAAACATGGTGGAGAGCAAGGTCCCCCAATTGAAATTTCAAAAACAGGCTCCGCAGGTTCTTGGGTCATTCGACTTGTGGCTTGTTGTAACCTTGTCCGGTGCCAGCCCTTCTGTTCAGGGAGGCGAGTGGTTCCTTGCAAATTGCAATGGCCCCATGACAGTGAGTGGCACGCGACCCCCAAAAATCGAGCCAAGAATCGCGCGCATGTGCAGTTTCCTTTGGGTTTTGCTCTCTCCAGTCAAAAGGGGCTTCCAAATGCCGGACACCCCGGTCAAGCATGGGGCATTGTTGAGGCCCAATGTCAGTGTTGCATTTCGCATTTCACCCCCATAGACGGAGTTCCAAACAAGGGGTCGCTCGAATTGTGCCACCGAAACTCTCGATATTTACAAAACGTACATCTAGATGTTGGACCAAAACAAACACCTACATTTTGACCCAAAGCAAAGAGCTAGATTTTGGACCAGCGAAGCATTTAGATGCTTGACCTCCAGCCAGGTTTTTTTCAGGGTCCCGAAGCCATTTGACCTCTTCTGATGCCAGGTTGACAAGGCGCAGCCGCCCCTGCCTCAGCCATCAGCTGGAGGGAACTGGGCTGCAACATTTCGATGGGGGCAACGGCCTAAATTGGGGTCTCGGAAATGGTGTCACAACTTTCAAGGCGGAGTCTGAAACATCTGAGCCAATTATCCTTGGTACACCCAGAGCCAAGTAAACGGGCTGTTGTTCCCGAAGTCGGGTGGCTTTAGTACAGCGTAGCCTTCCATGTCAGGTCACAAGCTGGCACAGGTCACTTGTTCGGTCCCCGGGCTGAAGGAGAAGCCCTGGCGCCTCAAAATGAACCGTGGATTAAACAGACCTTAAAAAAGTCTGCTGGGTTGTCTTTTGTTGACAATATGCTTGCAAGCAGAAAAAAAGAGAGTGTGGGTTCCCTGTCAAGCTTGTCGGCCCCTTTGGCTGTAGCCGCAGGACTTTCCCTTGTAGCTGGCGCTCCCTCCTTGTCTCATTGCTTTGCTTGGCCTCGCTTCCGCTTCAGAACCAACATGGTATCAGGCTTCTGAGCTCTCCAGCCGACAGCCTTTAACAGAAGCGCGATTCCACCCGAAAAGCACCGAAAGGGAAACGGCAGGTTACTTCCCACGGTGGTGACTGGGATCCACGGTAACAGCAACACGGCACGCCGGCTGCAACTCCTTTCGTTTTCGCTGAGGACGAGTAGCTCTAAGAAGCTTTGGCTCGTGGTGCCAAGCGCTTGGATCTGATGCAGTGGGATTTGGGTGCTTCTTGAAGCGCAGAAACAACGAGCTGCTTGAATTCCAGGGCATTTCCCCATGTCCCTCAAAGCTCTGCTGTAGAGGGGGGTCCCTGTTTTGCCAAACGGGCGCCAGTAAAAGGATGTCACGTTCTGGACGATCCCCACTGACAAACAGGAATCTGCCGTTTCGGAGCGATCCTCAAATACAGAAAAGATCTCACTTAGCAAAGTGGATGCCACCCTTGTTCCCTGTTTGTTGGTGGGATCCCCATTTTTTTGGGAGGGCTCCATCCAAACTTGCGGGCGACTGCCCGTTCTTTTTGAACGCGTGCTTTGGCTCGAGCTTCCGGCGACGAAGAGACCTTTACTTGATGCGGTTGATTGCCCAGGTAGGGCTACAACCATTGGAGACACCCTCAAAATGGTTGCATGGCGGTAGAGGACCATATCGATGACTGTTTGTCCAGCAAACGTTTCCAAATCAGTTAAAACGCAGTAGGAAGCAAGTAGGTAGAACATGCCGGATGCATATTGCGTGCCGTTTGATGTTGCTTTCCACCCTGTCCAGGTACCAAAGGGGAATCGCGTGGTTAGAAGATGGGACCCTGCTGCGTTTTCATCTTTCCTGCGGGGTTTATGTCTGCGTTTTTTGGCTTGGGTGTTTCCAACAATCATGGACCCTCAAAGATGGTCGCTTGGTTTCTCTTTCGACCCAACCGATCGCGCGGTCCGAGGAGGGACTTGGTGTCAAGCAGCCACCGACTCCAAGAGGCGGACGCCTCTTGGCAGCGATTCAACCGGGCAAGCTTGCCATCTTGGGGATCCACTCGGGGATGTCTTTTCTGGGGACCCCCTTTTAGGCGGGTGTTAACAGGACGCGAAAAGGGAACCCACCACTTGTTGGGGGTCCATTAAAAGGAGGCACGCCCAATTCTTTCTTCAGGGCCTTCTGAGTTTGGAGTATCGTACACGTCGCAGATCGATTTGACGTGGGACAGGCGGCTGAAGGTCTTTGTCTTTGAACAGCGGATTTCGGTGTGTTTCTTCAATTCTTTTTTGTTGGATTCAGAGGAGAACGGTCATGATGGGTACATATGTGTTCTTTGTCTGGTAATCTACCTGGTAACACCTCAAGCACATGGTAGCAGATACCAGATATCCCGATATCCCTTGCAAAAACACGCTAGATTCTGACCACGGTTGCGAACCATTGACCAAGTTGCCAGTGGCCAAGGAGTGTTTGCAAATTCCAAAGCGAATTGACCTCCTAGGTTTGGTCTATGGCTTGTTAAGGCTTCAATCAAGTTGCTGGAAAGAACAAGGGTTCGCACCGGGCGCGCGTTTGCTTCACTTGCCTCTCGAGGGCTTTTCGACATTTCAGCAGACGCCCCCCAACACCAAGGTAGGCGGATTCCTTGCTCCGGCCCTTCACGACATTTGAGCATAGGTGGTGGCTTTTGAGGTGAGGGTGGTTGGAAATTGATGGCAATAGGTTCTAATCATTTACCAGATCTATCTTGCTGGTGCTCTGCAGGGAAGGAGGGAATGACCCCTATAAAGGATCTCTTGTGGTTGCCTTTAAGGTTTAAGGGGACTCCTGGGTTCATTCCCACATTCCCTAGTGAGCACCAGCGAGCTCTTTCACCTAAAAAAAAAAACGCACCCAGCGACATCTGAGGTGATCAAGCTGGGGCGATTCAAATTCCGGGTCCGCCAGCTCGTCTCCTCGACCTGCGGCGGTCTCCAGCCGGAACTCAGGCGAGGCTTCAGGTCGATGAGGTGAGGTGATTTGGGGCTCCTCTTTCGACTGCCTCCCCAGGAAAGGATGGAATTCTCAATTAAATTCCAGGGCTTGCTCCAACAGTTAAACAAGACCAAACTGACAATCAAACAGACAAAGAACGCTCATCACAATCACCACCCCTCCCCAAGTCCATGTTTGAGTGTGGGCTTTGAGGTATCGAGGATAGACTGCGCCCCAGCTTGACTGATGGGCATATCGTCCTTGGTACAAATTTTGGGCTGGCTGAGGTCCCCCCCACACTGGAAACCCATGTGAGGCCAATCCGGTCTTGTCTTTATACGCACAACATGGCGACCCACAGGGTTGCAACAGTCAGGATGGTTTGGATTGGTGGCTTGGATTTGGATTTGAACCCGTTCTTCTTGCTTGTTCATCGGTTTTCCACGCCTTAACTGCCAGTTACAGAGAATCTGAACAAAAGCCAGGGTTTCAAAAGGGGCCCCGGAAAAATCGGTGAACCCGGGAGCCTTTGGGATGTCTCAAGGCTTCGGATGCCTCGAAGCGAAACCGAAGCACGGAAATGAGCGATGTGGCCAAACATCGGATACGGGACGTATTCGGGTCGATCTCCATTTAAGACTTCCCCAAGAAAGACACACATTTCATCCCCACACTTGTTTGGTCCATGGTCAGTTTGGCCATGCTTTTCAGTCGATTGGCTTCAGATTTGCCGCTCGCGACCCGAAGGTGTGGCTCAAGAGCTTGGCAACCGCCTTGGGAATTGCTTTGGTCAACATGTGATGCTTTCCAAACATTTCCCAATTGCCTACAATCACCCCACTCAACGGAAAGGTCGGAGCTTGAGAAAGGCGAGCACACCGGGTTTTGAATGCGAAGACAGCGGACAATGAGCAAAGGGGCAATATTTGGGACACGCCGCGAGGTTTCCAAAGATCTCCCATTATGCATGCGGGAAAAAGGCGACAACTGAACATTGGACAACTGAAAATTGCGAAAGCTCCCACCCTGCGGTTGACTCCGGGCACCGTGTTCGCTTTTTCGGCGCGTCCCATGGCACCTCGCGCGCGTCGCACCGCGCTGGCGCCGGTTGCACCATTGGCCCTGGCGCTCTGGAGGCGGTGGTGCGAATCGGCGAATTCGACTGGAGCCTAGCAAGCAACCCCCCCACGGGAAGATGCGGGCGACTTTTCTGGTGCTTTTATGTTTCATGTGCGTCTTCTGAGGGTCCAACCGCCATGGTTTATGTGTCTTCTGAGGGTCTCGGCCTTCTTTTTGGGAGTTTGAAATTTTGTGCTTCGGAGATCCTGGACTTCCCTTGCTGACTTCCGCCAGGATCTCCGGGCGCAGGGCGGCTGCACCTTGGGCTGAGATTTGGGTTGGACCAACAGGTGAGAAGGCCCCAAGAGGGTAACCGGATGTAAGCGGTATCCCCCCCTTTCCCGGCCCAAAAGAAGGGTCACCCAAAAGGACGGGTTTAATCAGGCCCCTGAAAGGGTCTTTACCAGAGTCGCTGGTAGCCCGTATTGGATTGGGGGCCCCTATTTGGGGCCAGCCACAACCATACAAGGTTACAACCGTGGTTAGAAGTGGGAGAGGTGCAACCATGGTTGCAGCCTGACTCAGGTTGGACATCCCAGTGTGACCTCCATGGATGAAACCACTTCTGAAACAATCCCGAGGAAAAGCAAGACCCGTTTCCATCAGACGGTTTTCAGGCGTCAGAGTTCATTGCGAGTCCAGAGCCTACCGACACACGTGCTTAGTCAGGCTGACTCTTTGAAAGGTACCCTTGCGTCAAGCCACGCACTGAGTTGATGCGTTTGCCTGCTGAATGAACTCTGCCTGCAAGATGACAACAGGTATGGGCATGTGGTATCAAGCCTTCAAATCTTGTGGACATCTTGGTGTACATCCACTTTACCTGCAAAGAGTGCCCACCCAGCCGCCCAGCCCCCAGCCAGCCACCCCACCCAACCAACACCACACCCAAACCAACACCCAAACCAACACCCCAATCAATACACCAACCCACGCACCCACAAGTACCCACCCACGAACACCCACCCACAAACACCCCCATTGACCAACACACAAACCAACACCCAAACCAACACCCATACCAACACCCAAACCAACACCCCAACCCAACTCCACCCCAACCACACCCCAACACAACCCAACCACACCCCAACCCAACCCAAGCCAACCACACCCCAATCCAACCAACCACTCCGATCTTCGTCGTTGGTCGAAAGATCCGAACACCTGCGAGGCATGGTCGGCGCCGGTGGTGACTTACGGCTCCCGGCTCTCGGTGCCCAGAGAGGTGGCTGGCGGGCGGTTTGCGTCCTACAAAAACGGCCAGGTTTTTGTTTGAACAAGTTTGCATCGCAGGGAGTGCTTGTTTGAACAGCAACAATCAGGTAGCCCTGAATTGATAACTTAGATTAATGGTTTGGGGTCTGAGCCCCTGCTTCTTCTCGAGGGAAAGTGGGAAACAGTTGTATTGGAGACGACAGTTATTTCATTAACTTTTGGGAAAACACCATTGACTCATAAAATTTGCTTGAACGCCCCCCTCTCTCCAACCACAAATGGACCCTAATATGCAAAGAGTTGGTGAGCACCCCGCCCAAACATGTGCCGGGTACCACTCCCACAAAGCTCTCACTGGCCATGGATATTGAGGAATCAATGGGCCAGGGATGAACATTTGTATCAAATGGGGAACGCTAAGCCCCAATATACCACCAAGAGTCACCGCCAAATATTTGAGAAGGAGTATGGTGTCGCGGTTTTGGGATCACTCAGTTTGCCCACCTGCACTTGTGAGCAAGGAAACTTTCATGTTTGCTTGAGGGCAGGCAACCTTTCAGATTTGCTGGGACTTGACCACTTTCCGTGGATGATCTGTATGGGAGCTAAGGAGCCCCACTTGACACCAAAAACAAACCAGGAGATGGTCTTTTTTGATGACTTTCCCTTGCGTCGGAGCATTTCATTGGATCGACCCGCGCCGCGGTTGGCACATTCAACCAGAACCGGGTCCTGCAGAGTGCTTGCGACCGCGTTTCAAGGGACCTCTCTTGCTTCAAGACACACAAGCAGTACCTTCTTCAGGGTTGGACCTCGAACACTTCTCAGGGTTTGCGTTTTGTAGTTGTCTTGAAAGACCGTTCAACAGTGGGGAACATGTTGTTCTCATTTCCACGCCTTCCCACACTTGGGCGAATCGGCTCAAAGGGTAGAAAGACACGGCATCCACAGAAGCCCTGCGTGTCTTCATGTTCTGGGTTTCTATGGCCCAGTCACCTTGGGGTGGCTTTAAAGAAACACGCCTGCATGCCCCAGTTGTGGCTTTTGTTGTCCGCCGGCTTGTAAACACAGGTAAAGCAACCATGTGTGGCGTTTGGTAGGAAGAGCCTTATGGGCCAACTTATGGGCGTTTCTCAAAATCGTGGTCCCTCCAATGGCTGGTTTCCTTTCGGTTTCCCTTTGCCGAACCCCATTCTGAGAAACACTTGGCTCACAAAGCCCATCCGTGAGTGATGGGTCAGGTGCCGGCGGGGCTGAGATACTGCCCTGACTTCATCACCAAAGAGGAGGAAGCGGAGGTGATGCTCGCCTTAGATGGACCAGGCCAAGGGCGCTCAGCAATGGCTAAAGTCAACCCCGGATCAAAGACCTGGATTCATAGAGGCGGTTTCAACGTGGTTGCTACACTTGCAGTAGTTGGGTGTCCAGCTTTTAGTGAGAATCCGGATCATTTTTGTGGGTAAACATAGAATCGGTTGTAGGCTCAACGGAAAACGCTGCTGTTTCACAAGATCTACAGGGCTAAGGCTCCGTCAAAGACCAGCCACGCTACAAGTGTGGTCTGATGCATGTTGTTTTCCTTCTTTCCACAGGCTTCTGGACAATTGATGCAGACATTCTTTTCACAGGCTTTGACAGGTTTTAGGACTTTGCATTTACGGCCCTCAGAAACAGCTTTGTTAGCGGGAACCCTGGACTAACAACCCCCCAGGATCCTCCAAGCAAACCGAGCCATGCGTGACAGCAAATCGTTGCATCCATCCTTCTTTTCCATGGGTGTTGCTTGCAGCCCGCTGTTGGTACTGTGTTGCCATGGTCTTGTGATCATTCTGGCGACCTCGACAATGCATGGATATCATTTAGACCTTTCATGTCTTTGAGTCACATGAACGACTGCACAAACCCTTGTCATCCCTCAGTGTATGGACATGTCACTGTGAGAATTCCGCCTTGCAAACGCTTGGAGGCACATCCATCACTGGGCACTCCAGACATATGGTGTCTTCAACTCAACTTAGGGTCACCCTTTTCATGGGTTCCCGAGCCATGACTTTACAGATGTCGGGTTTCCCATAGCCTTCTTGTTTCTGGGGCAGCCCTACATTGTCCGGCTCCTTTTGTTCTTCCTTGCGCCAAACGAAGGTCTTCCTTGGGGAAGAACACTGTTCAAGAGATATCCCTTGCACGGAAACACCATGTACAAGAAGGACCCCTTCTTGGAACGCAACATTTAGAAGAAGGCCCTCATCATTACAATCATGCCTTTCAAACTACTGTGTTAGCTGAACACACCTTTTCAGACCAAGATTCTGCTTCAAACTCATATCATGACACACATGCCTGTTCAAGGCGCGTGTTCGTTGAAAGCAGACCATTCGAGAAAATGTCCTCCTTGAACATCATGCTATGAAGGTCTTTCAACAGAACGTGTTGATAGCAAACACACCATTTGAGACAAAACACCTTCTTGAAAACAACACCAGGGAGCCAATTCCTTTAACAAAGAATGCCCTGGTTGGGTCGACGATGTCACTCATGTGGTCATCCAGGTGCCGCCTGGATGAGGCAGATTCGTCGGGCCCAGCAGTTCTTCGGCTTGCCGCTCGCCAGTAGACGTTTGAAGTTGGCAACATGGGGGAACTTCATGCGGTTGAAATCAAGGGCACCCAGCAAGAAATATGCAAAATTGGAATTTATCCATTTCTTTCTGGGATCAAAGGGAACCCACTAAGGGGCTGGCTGCCATATTTGAACGGATCCCTCGTGTTGGCGCCACATACTGACGCTGCTTTTTGGTCCGAACACCCTGAATGGCAGCACACGTGATGGGTTGCCAAAAGGTCTGATTTTGATAGACTGACAAGTATAAGGTAGGGTAGTCAATGTTAGGCCCTTCTTTTATTTACCTGGGGCCAGTTTTGCGACTGATTGTGTTTGGTGAGACCCCCAAACAACCATTTTCTCATCAAGTTCCTCTGTAGTTTAGCAAGGAACCCAAAGAATCAATCATTTTCAGAGGGTGTTCCTTTTGCGCCCCAAACAAAAGCCATACACCCTCAGCCCCAAATCATAGAACTTAGGAATCCCATACTGTGGATGGACAAGATCCCGCACGATTTGGTAGGCGGATCCCGTTTTTTTACTAGGCTTCCATGCAACAACCCATTGCCGATCTCTGAGCTCAGCTCTCCGTTTCCAGGGGCGGGGGGAAGTGTGGGGGGCTTAAACAGATTCACGGAAAGCAGAAGACACCGGCCAGATGCTGCAGGCTCCGATCCTTTTTGGGAACCGAATTTTCGCCGCCCATTTTGGGGCCGCCCTCTTGTTGGTCCCCCCCGTTTTCGAAAACGCTCATTTGTTGAGAGCGGAGGGCGATTGTTTGCAGGTCCAAGCCCCATTTTGACACATACCCAAATACGGCTTTGAGGCCGCGTTCTGAAATATCTCAGGAGCCACTTGAAAAAGAGGCAACTTAGTCATGGGAAGTGGAATCAACCCTGTATCACACTGCCAGACCTATGTGGGCTGCTTTCTTTTGGACCTTTAAACCAACAGGATACTGGATGTTGCAATGTTGCAACCGGGTTCCCCCACATTTCCTCCTTCACATGTCAAGGAAGCTCACTTGCAACCCAGGCGATGCAAAATATTATATATATATATATATATTAAACAAGAAAAACAAGCAACAAAAAACAACTGGGGAAAACCTCAAAAACAAGCACGAAAACCACGTCGGGGAAAACCTGTCGCTTAGACCGGTCGCAGGGTCTACTACCAGACCTCGCAGAGGGTTCCGGAGCTGCAGCCCACAGTCGACAGCCCGCGAGACGCGCAGCTGGGCCGAGGCTTTGAGGAGCTGCCCGGCTGGCTGCTCCCGCGCCTCAGGCGGGGTGCCGCGGATGGTTGGGTGGCTGGTTGGATTAGCAGGTGTTTAGGACATTTTAGTGTATTTTGCAGTTGGTTGCTCGCCTGCTCGCTTTCTTGCTTGCTGGGTTGGTTGTTTGGTTGGTTGGTTGGTTGATAGTTTCTTGCTTTTTTTTTTTTCTTGCGGGGGGGGGGGGGGTGGTGCGAAGTTGGACAGGAACAGACCCGTTGGCGGGTGGCCAAAGCGGTCTAAAGGATCGGGTCATGTTCAGAAATCCTGTTCAAGCGTTTTCGGGTTTTCGGGGCCGGCCAAAATCACGATCCGGGTTTTTTTGGTGGGAGGGGACTAAGCATGCCATGCCTCGTCAAACCCCAAGCTTGGGTCTTTGATTGGTTGCGAAGAGGGAAAGTATTGTATTGCCTTGGGTCTTTCAATGCGGACAATGCCTGATTTCCCATCTGGTGACAGGGCTTAGGGGTTGGGTTTCCATGTAACCCACAAGTTAAACCTTTAGGGGATCCGAAAACGGACAGCAACCAGATTTGGGGGGAGGAAGCGCGACAGAGCCCCAAAAACGCGCTTGCCGGTTGCCGGTGCGGGCCTAGGTGTACGGGCGTGTTCGATCCAGGCGGGAGAGCGAGACATGTCAGCCCCGAGTCCGCAATGGATATGAGATAACTCATGTTCGCATATGGGATCTTTTGTCCTTGGGGTTTTTCTGGACGAACTGCGGATTTAGAAGGAACCAAGATTACTGCTCGTGACTGCATTCTGAAGTGCGGAAGTCCTTCCTTTTCCCATCCCATCTCGGCCCATTGGAGCCGCTCAAGACCTCCGGAAACATCGGCAGCTGAAGAGGCGAGATCAACCAAGTCCAAGCCAACGAGTATCTGGAAGACAGCGGCATCGGCGTCCACGTGGAGGACAAGACAACCATCAACTCATTGTTTTTCCCCAGCAGCTGAAAGCTTTGGGGTCTCAGCCCAGATAGGCTCCGGGGTGGTCCGGGGCGGCCCTGACATAAGGTTCCACGAAGGTTCCACAAGGGCTTCACGAGGGTTCCACCAGAGTTCCACCAGGTTCTGCGAGGGCTGCGGGGTGGTCCGGGGTGGATTGAGGTAAGGTTTTACAAGGGTTCCACGAGATCGCCTGAGCTTATTTTAAATGTTAAAAAAATATTGTCTTGGAAGTATAAAGCAGGCCCTATCATCAGCAGCCTTTTGCCTCCACAGTTCATTTTTTCCCGCAATGAGCTTGCTCCCAGATGCCCTGGAAGCTGATGGCTTCTTCATCAATCATCACCTTCCTTGCCTCCATGGCTGTCAGGAGACGCTCACTGGCTTGGCAATGCTTGAGCACAGGCTTGACGTCAAGCCCTTTCATTGTCAGCTACATGCTTGCAAGCCCTTGGTCTGCACGGCACAGTACAAAGCACCATGCAACAATCTTTCTCCATCTCGTTAAATTGGTGGCTACTTTTGCTGCACGCAGGAAGTGAAGCATGTAGTTTGATACGGCCCCTCAGATAAAAAGTACTTTTTCCCCAGCAGCTGAAAGCTTTGGGGTCTCAGCCCAGATAGGCTCCAGGGTGGTTCGGGGCGGCCCTCGGGTAAGGTTCCACGAAGGTTCCACGAGCCACATGGGTTTGACCAGGTTCTACGAGGGCAGCGGGGTGGTCAGGGGTGGTTTGAGGCAAGGTTCCACGAGGGTTCCACCAGGGTGGAACTACCAGGGCAGCGGGGTGGTCCGGGGTGGTTTGAGGCAAGGTTCCACGAGGGTTCCACCAAGGTTCCACCAGGTTCTGCGAGGGCTGCGGGGTGGTCCGGGGTGGATTGAGGTAAGGTTCCACGAGGGTTCCACGAGGGTTCCACCAGGTTCTACGAGGGCAGCGGGGTGGTCAGGGGTGGTTTGAGGCAAGGATCCGAGGTTCTGCAAGGGCTGCGGGATGGTCTGGGGTGGTTTGAGGTAAGGTTCCACGAGGGTTCCACCAGAGTTCCACCAGGTTCTGCGAGGGCTGCGGGGTGGTCCGGGGTGGTTTGAGGTAAAGTTCCACGAGGGTTCCGCCAGGGTTCCACCAGGTTCTGCGAGGCAGCGGGGTGGTCCGGGGTGGTTTGAGGCAAGGTTCCACGAGGGTTTTCACCAGGTTCTGCGAGGGCTGCGGGGTGGCCCGGGGTGGATTGAGGTAAGGTTCCACGAGGGTTCCACGAGGGTTCCACCAGGTTCTGCGAGGGCAGCCCGGGGTGGTTTGAGGCAAGGTTCCGAGGTTCTGCAAGGGCTGCGGGGTGGTCTTGGTGGTTTGAGGTAAGGTTCCACGATGCTTCCACCAGCGTTCCACCAGGTTCTGCGAGGGCTGCGGGGTGGTCTGGGGTGGTTTGAGGTAAAGTTCCACGAGGGTTCCACGAGGCCTACCAGGTTCTACGAGGTCCGAGGTGGTTTGAGGCAACTGCAAGGGCTGCGGGATGGTCTGGAGTGGTTTGAGGTAAGGTTCCACGAGGGTTCCACCAGCGTTCCACCAGGTTCTGCGAGGGCTACCAATTTCTGCGAGGGCTGCGGGGTGGTCCGGGGTGGTTTGAGAAGGTTCCCCCCAACAACAGCCTTACATGCCCATGCCCAGCAAAGGCAACAGCCCAACAAAACAACCAGCCCAACAGAAAGCAGAAAGCCAAGGCCAAAACCTTACACACAAACAAGCCAAGTTATTCTAGCAGCTCACAGCCCCACAGCCTATCAGCCCAACAGCCCCACAGCCTATCAGCCCAGCAGCCCAACAGAACAGCAGAAGCCCAAGTTTTTTAGCAGAAGCACAACAGCTCAACAGCTTGACATGCCCATGCCCAGCAAAAGCAACAGCCCAACAAAATAACCAGCCCAACAGAAAGCAGAAAGCCAAGGCCAAAACCCTAAACACACAAACAGCCCTCTGCGGGGGTGGTCGAGGTTCTGCGAGTGTGGTATGGTCCGGGGCGAGGTAAGGTTTCAAATGTTGGCTTTGTTGCAAATCAGATCACGTTGCTGCGGGACTCTCACAGTACAGCAGAGTAAATGCTTGGCATTACTGAGTATTACTTGGGCGTTGGGTTCCAAAAACGCTCCACGAGGTTTCCACCAGGTTCTGCTGAGTTCCACGAGGGTTCAACGAGGACGGTTTGCGAGGTTCACCGGGCACAGGTCGGGCGATGCGCCGTCGGGGCCCGATCGGGCCCGATCGCGCCGTCGGGCCCCGATCGGGGAGGGACTCAGTCGGGCCGCATCAACTGTACCAAGCTGGCATAGCCTAGTTTTGCTGGATACAAAAAACCGGCGTTGAGCTATAATATGTGGCTGGCGCTTGCACCACGGGACCATCGGGCCCCCGGTCGGGGCCCGATTGCGCCGTCGGGCCCCGCTCGGCCCCGATTGCACCGTCCGGCCCCGATCGGGCCCTGATTGCGCCGTCGGGCTCCGATCGGGCCCCGATCGCGCCGTCGGGCCCCGATCAAGGCACGATTGCGCTGTCACTCTTAGCTTTGCTTTGCAAGGTTACAACGCGGCATCCTCAGCAAAACCGGTCGCGGGGCGTTCCGCGAGAATTCTGGGAGGGTGTGGTGCTGTTGGGGATATCGCCTGAGCTTATTTCTGTCGGGGAAAATGGGCGTGCCAAAATTAATCCAGCAGGCGACCGCAGGCTTCCTTGTTTCCGCAAGCCAGGAATCTATTTGGGCATTTTGAACATCGTTTTCCTTGGGCGTGCTATTTTCGCTCGGAAGGTCGCTGGTTTTTAGAAACCCAGGAACATAAGACTTCCTGATTTGTCTCGATCGAATCGGGGAACTGACATGTCAACAAAGCAACAACCGGGGGACGAGCCCCTAAATTTCCTCATGCCCTCTTGGAGGTGGCTCCCCTGTTTTTTGAAATGTCGGGAGGATCCCCTGCACTCCCGGAAAAACAAACACATATTCTGATCCTATGGCCACTGCAGATGTGGGGCAGGGTTAATCAACGTCGATCTGGATTCGCCATTGAACCTGCAGTTTAATTTCATAGCCATATCTGTCATATTTGTGCTTGTCTAACTAGGGATCCCTGAACATATGAATTATTTCCGTTTGGTTTCCACAAATACCAACCAAGAGGGGGCCGCTACGAATTTGGGCATGGTAAGCACTACTCGAAATCAGTGATACCCTTCATGGGTCATTCCCATGACTTGATCACCAAATGGGGATTCGCATCCTTGGCCAGTCACAGATGTGACCTTAAACACAGATTTCCCAGAAGGGTTTTATTACTCTTCGGAACCCGGACATACTGTGGATGGAAGCAACGGGAAGCCACATGGTTTCCCACTGGTGCGAACGGATCTCGTCCATCCGAGGCATGTCAAAATCGGGGGGTTCGGACCTGATGGAGCCTTCGGTGGCCAAGTTCTTTTTCCCGAAAGGCCCCATTGAAGAAGGACATCTCCTCAAAAGAAAGGTATCTCCCGGCCAAACGAGATTTCTCTGCATCTTTCCTTTAGTGACGGATGCCCGGGCCCAGCCATCTCTGCCAATCGGCTCGTAGGACCCCGCGGCCGGGCCCACGCTGGCCACCCTGTCGCTGCTGCAGCCGGTGCAGCTCACGCTGCAGAAGGCCCACGAGGCCTGAAAGGTTCAAGCGCCATGCGGGTGTACCGTAGTGTTTTCTGAGGGTGCCCCCCTTTTTCGTGGTTTGAAGGGAAACTAAAAGGAAACAAGAACTAGACAATTCCATGTGCCTGTAGGTAGCCGTGGCGACCACTTTGAAAAGCAACATGGTGAAGGGTTACCTTCTGTGGCTTGAATGGGATCCGCTGGGACCCTTTGGCACCCTTTGCAGGTTGATTGGACACACAAGTCAACAGCTTGCTTCCTCAAAATAACACAACAGGTTGGTTCAGGTTAGTGCAGGTTGGTTAAAAGGGAAGCCAATCGAACAAATAACACAATGTTTCTCGGGTTCCCTTTAATTGATTTGTTGCAGTCCATTTGGAAGGGAAATGAGGTTCACTACATGCCAACCACAAAGACCAGAAGCCGGATCTGTACGTACCAAGTTCTTTTTATTCTCCTATGGTCTGGGGCAGGGTTTCCTGCAGTTCCCCCTTCAAGGAGCAGTTTCTATTTGGAGTGGTGGTACACTGAGTTAAGTGGCACGGTGAGTATCATGAATCTCCGGCAGCAACTTCTTGTAGCGCGAATACAGAATGCATTTTTTCTTTTCTGTTTTTGCTTCTGAGAAACGAAAAGCGTGGAAGCGATGCTCCTGAGAGACCAGCAACACTGCATCTCCTGATCCAGAGGAAAGGCCACATCAATCACGCACTCATCATCCTTGGTGGTGAAGCACCTGAAGTCTCCAACTTGTGGTCCTACAGCACAGTCACAGCCACAGCTGGGTCATCATTCCAACTTTCCATTGCAGATAAACTGACCTTGAACGTGAAGTGGCAGCATCAATATTCATTTGCCATGCGCCGAACTGACAATCAGCCACCCGAGCAAATAAGTAGCAAATCTAGCCTTTTAGTCACTAGGCAAAACGAGCTTACATGGCACTTTTTTGATACCATTAGAGTAAAGAGCTTGTATCTGGGGGGTATCTTTTGTAGGGGACATGACTCTTAAGAAACCACAACCCACCTTAAACCAGCTCGTGACCCCTTTTGGGCAAGCCCTGAAACAACCCGCTAGAACCCAAAATCAAGCCAAAAACCAACCTCAGTGTCACTAACAAACCAATCCTTGATCAGCCTTAAGCACCCGCACCCCCATCCACTCCGACCCAAACCAATCCTCCACCGCAGGGGGGTGGAGACCCCCAATCCATTCCACAAAGGGTTGGGGAGGAAACCAAGAGGAAGCCGTTGCCATTTTCTAGAAGACCGCTTTTTTGCCACACCCAGTTGACTTGGTAAGTGAATCATGGGCATTAGTTGGTTCAAAGAACAGGGTTCCGCAAAGACATGAGTTTGAGAAGCACCTAATTCCCAGAGGGTTGACCTCCTCCAAATCCGCGCAGGGGAAGGCGGCTCACCGAAATCTCCGTGACCCCGAGGTGGCTGGGCACGGCTTGGGACCGTTGGGGTTAAAGGCCCCGTTTTGGGGGCGGTGGTGAAAAGGGGGGCTTGAAAGGGCCAGCGCAGTTTTCTGACCTGTTGTTCCAGGAAGCTCATCCATCAGGGTTCCACCTTTTGACTACCCCAGACGCCGAAAACCAGGGGTGGTTGATTTCCACCTAACTCAACCTTTCCCGGGTTTCGGCGTCTGTCAAAAAGTCAGGGAACCCTGGCATCCAATTTTAATACATGCGACTCCATCGTTTTTTTCTTTACCAAGGACTGCATCAAGGTCCTGCTGGAGCCTGGATCTCTTCTGGTGCTCCAAGGCCCCAGTCGCGAGGACTTCAGCCACTGCATCCGCATGTCGCAGCTGGGACTGAGAGAGTTCAGGGAAAGAACGGCCCTCCGGACCATGGAAAAGGGGGGGGGGTTCGCAAATAAGAGCAAGTCAACTTAGTTGACAGACAGTGCACTAGTCTTAGACATGAAAATCAAGCTCCTCATGTTTGCAACACTCTTGGCCAACTTCTCTTCAGGACAGTGGGGAGTTTGTTGTTGGGCTTTATTGGTGTTCTGTGAGTGATTCGAGATGCATTGAACGGCCAGAGTCATCAAATTAGTATCAGCAATGCAGACGAAGACCAAGCAAACCAAACATCCAAGCGCCATGGTTCTCCTCATCGTTGTCGCCAAAATCATCATGACCATCATCACCATCACCATCAGCATCATCACCATCGTAATCATCATCATCATCATCACCACCATCACCACCATCATCATCATCATCACCATCACCATCATCACCATCATTACCATCATCACCATCATCACCATCATCACCATCACCATCGTCATCTTCAACTTCATTGTCACCCCCCATCCCCATCCTCATCTTCATTGTCATCCTCATTCTTGTCCTGATGGTCATCCTTATCCTGATCAGAGTTTTTATCCTCATCAGAGTCCTCATACGGATCGTCAGCGCTATCCTTATCCTTCATCCTCACTGTTATCCGCATCCTCATATTTATTGTCGTCGCCATCCTTATCCTCCTGCTCTTCCTCCTATTCCACATCCTCGCCCTATCCTCATCATCATCCACATCGTTGCCGTCATCCTTATCATTATCCTCATTGTCATCTTCGCCATCCTCATCCTCATCCACATTTTCGTCATCGTCATCGTCATCCTTATCGTCCTCCTCCTCCTCATCATCATCAGCAGGAGCAGCATTCTCGCTTCGCTCATCATTGTCCTCGTGCTTCTGCTGCTGCTGCTGCTGCTGCTGCTCCTCCTCCTCCTCCTCCTCCTCGTCCTCCTCCTCCTCCTCCTCCCCCTCCTTCGTCCTCCTCATCATCGTCATCATCGCCAGATGGCGGCACACTCCACAAACTACTTGACCTGCAGGAGCAATACATGGTAGCCCACTTTTGCCACTGGCCTTGCGCCGTTTCCTGTGTCCAAACCCTGGTGTTTGCGTTTCTTGCCTTGGCTTGCCAGCGGCCCAGTTTTGGCACCTCTTTGAGCGGGAAGGCTGACAAACTGTCAAAGCCTTACACTTTGAGGGTGTGCCATTTTTCAGCCATTTTTAAGCCATTGTCGCAGTCATGGCTGCTTTTCTGCTTTGTGTTTTTCTTCTGATAGCATGCAGAGTGCCTTGCAGTGAAGTGAGCTTGTCACAAGCTTCTCTTCGTGTTGAGGTCTGCATTTTTTTCTTGAATGCCCAGGGTATGTGCCAAAATAGGGAACCCCCCCCATTTTGGGGTGTTTTCCTCTAGTTGTTTTTTTTTTTAAAACCTGGGACTTGGTACCCTCAAAGAGGCACACACCCAGCTCCCTTCGCGCTGGCGCCCAGGAAGCGCGTCCCCCTGCGAGATGGCAGCGTGGTGCGGCGCACCAAGAGCTTTCGCCGGGTGTCTCTGACTTTCCGAGGCCGATCTGCGGAAGCCGTGGGGGTCTGTCGTGTTTTGGAGTTGGCGCTTCTGGGAGCTAGCCAAATGGCTTAAATGGTTGGTAACCCTGCGTCACTTTGGAGCGGGCGGTTGTAAGCCACTTGCAATGGTTGTAGGTCCCCTATAACCAGGGTTACTAGCCAATTCGCGAAGTCCCAGACCATCTAAGTAGAAGGTTTTTTGTCGGCTTTGAAGGGAATTCAAAAGGAACACCATTTTGGGGGCCCCCAAAGTGTATGTCTAGCCAGACTCAGATGTGCGGGCATCCATTTTTGGAGGGCAGCATCTTCCTGAGTCGGGTCTCCCGCCTCCCTGCCTGCCAGCTCGTAGGCATCATCGAGGCAAAGCGCAGCACAAATCGGGCAGACATGCCCGAGGGCTATCGAAGCTACATGGTCGGTCAAAACGAATGCGGACCGCGGGCTGCATTTCCTGTCGGCTGCCACCAGAGGTTGGATGCCGCAGCAGGTTTTAGCTACGCAAGACAACGAGACCCGCCAAAATAAAGGGTTGAGATGACCCTGGCTGCAACTTGCAGACTTTCCCGGCATGGGCCCAAGCCAACTCCCTACGGATTTGGATTTAGGGTCCATTGTACAAGATGCAACATGTCCGAACTGGGCACTCCACATCATTGACTAGCTTCAGGTTGCTTCCCTTCTTAGCCTGTCCTGGGCCCATAGGAGGCCTTCAGATTTAAGACACACACCAAAACACAACAACGCACATATACACAAATACACAAACACGCAAACACGCAAGGACACCCACCCACCCGGCCCGCCGGCCCGCCCACCCACGCATGCACCCATGCACCGATGCACCCACGCACGCACGCACACAGACTGGCGCACACATGCGCATACGCACTCACGCAGACACGCACACTCGCACAACTACCTGCACCCGTACCATCACCCGCATGCGCACGAGTTTGCGCCCAGGCACTTATAGGCGCACGCGCGCCAGCCCACACGCAAGCGCGCATGCGCACACCCACGCCCATGCCTGCCCACCTTTACCACCCGCCTGCTCGGCCACGCCCGAGCCATGTGCTGAAAAAACAACAAAGCGGTTGGTTTTGGCCACTTCGCACCTCATGGCCAAAGTATGGCTGAAGAGTTCCGCGGGCTTCAGTTCCTGCGAAGCGTTAGCCATGGCCACGTCCTTCCACGATCGCTTTCCGCGCTTGTCAACCTCCCCGACGGCGAGACGGAAGCGAGGCCTGCGCTTTTAGGCAGGTGGACGGTTCGGGAGGTCAGAGCGGTCAAGTTTCGATACAGACCCCTGGGTTGTTTTGGATGGGCCCCTTGTCGAGTGGCTCCAAGGCATTCAAAAGGAATTGAACTGTTTGCCAGTTGGCATAGGGTGACTTGGTGTGTCTTTGATGGTGCCCATTTTCTGTTATTTTCAATGAAATCCTGAGGGAACCGCCCACGTTGGGGTTTCAAGTGGCGCTAGATGAGTTCACCAAGGCGGGTTCCGCCAAGAACGCGCAGCTCACACGTTCCGTGCAAGCTGCCGCGCCTTCAAGGACCTTGCCACGCTGCAGCTCGAGTTTTGCTGGCTGCTTCCCTTGCAAGCAGAGCTTTGGAGCCCTTGAAGAGGAAGTCTTCATGATTGTAAGCCAGGTGGTGTTGTGGATGCCACTCGGAGTTTTGCTCGGTCCTGCAAGGGTTCCTGAGCTTGAGCGTTGTTGAGTTGTCTCACATAGTGTCTGCATATGCTTCAATGTTGGGTTCGTTCCAACAGCAGTAGAACCTGTTGAGGGCGTGTGTTTGGCCCCCGGTTGTTTCGCTTGCTCTTGCCGCTTTTGAGCAATGGACCAGAGGCTGGACGTTTCGGTTCCAGGAGTCTCCGTGACGCTTGCCCCAAATTGTGTGAAACTATTGGGGGTTACTCACCCACACTCCTGCATTCCCTGTAGTGAATAGGCATCCAGAAACAATTGCATCCAGAATGCCAAACAACAGCAAACACGTACAGTACGTGGCAAGCAAACAAAGCGACGCAACGCACAAAAGACAGATGGGTGTGCCAGGCTTGATTGGGCCCTCTTCTAGATGGTGGGCCAGGAAATCAAGAGAAAAGTTACAACTCTTCAGGAATCCCTCTTTTTGCCGAAAGGCAAAGTCCATGGACAGTGCCCCTGTCCTCTCACTTTGGCGTCAGGTTGAGTGAAGCTCAGAGACCCTGGCGCCGAACTGGCTGCGAGGCTTGGGTTGAGGCCCAGGTCGAGGCCAAGGCGGGAGGGGCGGAGTCTCAAACGTCACGTTCGTCTGCTCCAGCATAGCTGGACGGAAGTTTCTACCCGCTAATGTGCCTATGGGAGATGAAGCGTTTCCGCGCAGCAGCTCTTCTCTTCTCTTCTTTCTCTTCTCTGAACTTCTCGTGTCTTTTCTCTTTCCATTTTTTCTTCCTCTTTCTCTTTCTCTTCCTCTTCGTCTTCGTCTTCGTCTTTCTTTTTCTGTTTCTCTTTCTCTCTCTCTTTCTCTTTCTCTTTTTCTTTCTCTTCTCTGTCTCTTTCTCTTCCTCGTTCCATCTTTCTTTCTTTATGTCCTTCTTTCTTTCCCTCTTTGTTTCTTTCTTTCTTTACTTCTTTCTTTCCTTCTTCCTTTCTTTCCTTCTCTCTCTGTCTCTTTTTTCTTTTTTCTTTTTTCCTTCTCTCTCTCTCTCTTTTAATTATTAATTCAATTTTTCTATCTATTTATCTGCGCCGGACCTTGCGAAAGTGCTGCGCCAGCCACGAAATCTGTGCTTGACCTTGCGAGAGTGTGGCGACTGCCACGGAATCCGCAAGTTGCTTGTTCGCATTTGTACTTGAGGACGAGTTTCTTGCGCAGGGTCCCAACTTTGACAGACGCACGGATGGACCACCCTCTATGATATCAAGGTATCTTGCAAGGTAGGGGCATTTGAAGAGATCTCAATCCTGGCAACATGATTGGTCTGTTCCTAGTTTGACTCCGGGCGAGCCCTCAACCTTCGCGGAGTGGCTTGTCGCAAAAGTGCCACTTTCCAAGACTTCCAACCCAAGGATGTTCCGTTTTCCCCACATGTAGCGCAGGCTTCCTCATATGTTTTCGCTTTGGGTGGTTTCAATCATCGGGACAGTCTAAACCGAGCCGCCTTGTCTTGTGGTGGGTCGATGTTTACCGGAAGATAAGGCGCCATGCGTGGAGGAATGATGGACCAACAAAAGGGCACCTTTTCTTGGAGGGTCCAGTCACTTTATGAGCGGATTCAACTTCCAGTGGAATCCGTTGCGCACACACACACACACACAACGTCTGGACTTTTAAAGCCAAGACCGTGTGGCAGCTGGTCGCCGACCGTTCGCTGAAAGCACAGTAGTTGCAGCTGCAGCGTGACAGCGTTTGCTCAACATATTTCTTCAGCTTCACTAAATATGTGAGTTTATTTGAAATATTTGTGAACATTTTAGTTAAGGAACTAAGCTGGAATACAGTTTAATATATGTTTAAGTCAACAAATTAATGTTTGTTGCTTGACAAATTATGCATCTACCGTGAAACAAATGAACAGGTTAATAATGAGTAACAGCTAACTATGAACAGGGACCCACAAAAAGGGCAAACTGTGGATGACAATTTGGAGCAAGCAACTAAAATCGGCTTGTTTTTATTTGGGGTCCACCAATCTTCGGTTTATTTGTTAAGCAAGTGATTGCTGGATCAATGAACTTGTCTTACCTTGTTCACGGGTTCCAACAAACGGTCCCCATCGCTTGCATCAATAAGTGCATTGCATCTGTGAGGGTACCCCCCTTTTTCGCCGGTTTTAAAGAGAAGCCACAGGGACAACCGCCATTTTAGGGAGGCCCGATTCCTGAAAACACAGCCGCCCATTTGGCCAGGACCCCGTTTTGTTCCACGGCCACAGCACGTTGAAGGAGTTGGACTGTTGAGCCTTGGTTGCGGTGGTTGCGGTTTCATTTGCCGCGCCGAGAGGGTGGATTGTGAGGGCTTGGAAATGCCGTGCCTTCGCCACGTGTTGGTTCATTTCACTTCCGGGCCCAGAATTATGTTCGGTTCTAAAGGCTACATATAAGAGTCAGAAATTGGAGTCCCTTCAAGCAAGCCACTCTCTGTGGGGCTTGGAACTGGGGCTAGTTTTTTCTGTAGCAAGGCAAGGCTAAGATACAGCTCAAGCCCAAACACGGCCGTACGTACCCCTATTCAGTCGGGGGTCCTGGGCCGGAGGTTGCGCATGTTTTGGACAAAACCATCCAGACCTTGGTTCCCCGCCTTTCAGAGGCACAGAATCCGGGCACCGAAAGCGCTGGGGCCACTGATTTGCCAGTGCTGCCACCGCGAGGTGTGTTTGGGTTTGTTGAGAGGATTGCATGCTCAGAAGTGGGTCTCAGCATGTGATGCTTCCGCACCGAAGCAAGACGGATTCATACTCGCGCATCTCTCGCGGGCTCAAGTTGACTCTCACGCAAACTTTGACCATTGCCGTGCTCGGCAAAACAGCGTTTTCTTGTCGCCATGCAGCGTCTCCTGGCCCTTGCCGCGCTTGCCGCGTTGTCGGTGGCTGACGACCTGGAGAAGACGGCCCTAGAGTCGGATGTGTGTGAGGGTGAGGAGTGCACCTTGTCCCTGCGCCAGCTCCGGGGGGAGCGGATGGAAGCTGAGATCGCCCGGCACCAGGTGCCGTTTGCGCTCTTGCTTGCAAATCACGTTTGAATTTAGGTTTCCTTCAAACTGCTCCGTTGCGTTAGCTCTCAAACTTGCAACTAGCAGGTGCCGGAGGAGACGGAGGAGGCGGAGGAGACGGAGGTGACGGAGGTGACGGAGGTGACGGAGGCGGTAACTGAGGCACCAGCTGCTGAGGTCACCGAGGCCCCCGCGGCCCCCGTGGCCCCCGCGTCTAATGCGACCAACGGAACGAAAGTGGAGGCGACAGAGGCGCCGGCGACGACCGCCGGCTTCCAGTTCGAGTTCGACTTCAACAACGACCAGCCAGAGACCACTGCGTCGCCCGAGTCTGAGGACGAAGAGATTCAGGAGGAGCTGGCCAAGATGAACGAGACCAAGATGCAGGAGGACATCGAGAGAGAGGAGGGTGGCCTCTGCTGCTTCAGCGGCGAGAACAGCAAGGACACCTGCGGCACTTGCTACCCCATGTCCATCGCGTCCTACAAGAGCCTTAGTTGCACAATCCTACATGATTTTGGATTGAAACTCCAAATTGGAGGCAGCACATTTAGACCAGTGTTTGAACAACGATGTCGCCTTTGGCTTTTTGAACAACGATGTCACCTTTGGTCTTGTGAACAACGATGTCACCTTCGGCTACTTGAACAACGATGTCACCTTCGGCTACTTGAACAACGATGTCACATTTGGCTCGTTGAACATTGCCTTCAATTTGATTCCAATTTAGCAGAAATAATGTCCTCTTAATTCCATGTAATTTGCAGTAAAGTCATGTTTAACAACTGATTTGTAATCAGACGTTCTATTCAAACATGCTACTTGGCATTGACACCTAGTCTAATCTTCATAGGATTCCATTTCTATCAAACACACGCGATCCTTCAAGCCAAGTTCAAACATGTTGCATCTTTGCCATTCCAAACCATATTTGGACACGCACTTCTAGGGAAAATCCATTTAAACTTGGAACCACATCAACCTTACAAAGGCAATTCAGCATGAACTTTGCCAAGTCAAGCCTTGGCAAAACATACTGTAAAATGCAACATGTGTCCTACATTTTTTCCCCTAACAAAAGGCGTCAAAGTGGACGCTTCCCACGAGCAAGAAGGGCTTCAACGCGCTTATTTTTTTCAGCAAATTGTTCTAAAATGGTTGAAAGTATTTTGGGAGGCCCACAATCCGAGATTCTTCAAAAGTGTTACGAGCAATCTTGGATCTCAGATCCACCCCACGAAGAGATTGAAGCCCTTCTTGTTGGACCTAGCAAGCGCCCAGTTGGACCCTCAGTTTTGACGCCAAACAAAAGGGCAGCAGATCTGACACATAAGTACCACATATATATATATATACACACATGTACCATACAATTTCATATGTGCTATGTATTTGTTTACCCATGTGCAGACACATAGACACACGCATATTTGATATCCCTTGGATGCCTTATACCGATTCGAGCCATGGGCCTTCACGAGTGAGGACCAAGTGTTCGAGGAAGAGCGCGTGCTTGGGCGAGTGCAAGGGCACCTGGTGCCCCAGCAAGCGCCCTGAATCAACGAGGTGTTCTTCTGAATTTTGTGGTTTTGATGAGTGCACCTTTTCACATTTTTTTTTCTGTAAGCACGATTTTTCTGTAGCCGACGCAAACAGAGCTTTCTATACCCCCCCCCCCCCAAAAAAAAAAGGGACCCCCCCAAGAGAAAAAGAGGACAACACAATTAACACACCATAAAAACAAGGAAACAGACAATGACACATCCCCCCGGCTTTGGTTTCCCGAAGAGTTGCGTCTCACATATGGGGGAGCCTTCGAAGCCTTTTCCGCTTGGGCGCCCAGCTGGACATGGAAGCGTGGATGCTCTTTTTCTTCCATTTGCTGATAGGAATATTTTGTTATTTTCCCCCTGTGGGCTTTGAAAGGGGAGTGTATGACAATTGCAAAAGCTATGTTTTTTTCAGGGGGGCTTAAGCAAATAAAGGTTTTTTGGGAGGCCATGGTTGTGCTCGAAGCTTCCTAGAAAGGCTAAGATTCTTCTAGAGTTGGAGCCTCACAAGTCGGATGAATCTCCGGCGAATCTAGATGTCTGAAGGGTCCTAGAAATATTTACACCCACTTTTGCAGACTCTCTTTTAGCCGACGTGCCTTTTGCCGCTTCTCCTGTTGCCCACGCCAAAAACGGGCGAGCCCTCCAAGTAGTAAAGCGGTCATGAATGACCTTTATTGGTATCACAGATTTCAGGGGGATTTTCCAAACCCATCCCCCCGGGGGTGTCTTCTTTTGAAGCCAGCTAACAAAGTTGGTTGCCTGAAGAGTTTCGCCCCCAGAAGAGCGAGCGCCCGAGGTGCGTGCTTGGCGCCGCCGATCCCCTCCGCAAGTGCGCCACCGCCTACAAGACGGGCACCTCCAAGGATCCCTACTGCAGCAAGGACTTTCCGCCGAAAAAGTTGACGGTATGCGGAGGGGATTCGGAGGGAGGCGGAGGGAGTGTTGGGAGAAATGGGCTGTCTTCCGGCGGCTTAACATGAGGGAACACCGCCCCTATCCTGACCCACATATGAGCCGCCATGAAACGTGTGCTTTGTGGGGGGGGGGGGCCAGGTGAATCTACATTTGTCTGGTGTTGACTCTGCCACGTGAGCATCCAAGCCATCAGACCTAGAGTCCATGATGCAGGTTGACACAGATGCGTGCGCTGTTTTGAACATAGGTGGCTTCACTTCCCAGGAACCGTCCCAAAAGGAGTCCCAGTTAACCCTCCCATGGGAACAGGTACGTGGATTCGCGAGCATTGCCAACGCGTGACGGCCCAAGGGCAAACACTATTTGAACTTTGGAGACACTGTCGGCTCGGGAATGCTCCCCCAAGAATTTAAGCTACGGCTCACTGGAACCATCGCTCTGCGTTAAGCCCAAGCCCGGGACCCCATCGGACCGCCTCCTAGGGGATTTCAAAGCCGCAGCTCGGGTTTGGGTCAGCGCATGGGGCGCCGAAAGCCGCGCTTCGGCATTTTCTCATGCGAAAGCTCAGGTTTGTGTGATGTTTGGGCTCTATCGCCTTTCTTCACGCGCTTCTTTGCCGGGTACTCATAATGGTTGTTGACCTCAATCCTGGGCATCCCCTTCCAGAAAACCACAAAGGATAGTTTGTGGGGTCATTCCCTCATTTCCTGCCCAGGGCCGGCAACATAGATGGCACTGGTTTCAAGTTGGTTCTAAGCCTTTGCTTCTCCAAAGTTATTGCGGATGTACGACACCTGTATGGATGAACCCCGATGTGAATAGATATGCTTCACCAATCTCGGCGTGGATGTTGTCCACAGCATGGCCAGCATCAGGTTACCCCAAACCAATCCAAGCCTCGGTACATGGGGGGTATCTTTTTGAGTTTATACCCCTCTTTTTGGTTGGTATTGAATCGGAAATAAAAGGCCAACCGCAAGCCATTTTTGCGCGGGCCAACCTCAATCCAATCCAGGGCTCCAATTCAAGCCACCCCCCAAAACCTCCAAGGGGCCAGGTCCTGGTGTTCCCATTTTCAGCTTTTTCAGGACAAGGAGGGCTGCGACAGCTGCCAGGGCGAGTGGTGCCGCGCGGGCTGGAACTCCCACTTCACCCTCACCGAGGGAAGCCATGGTGCGGAGGCGAGGGACGGGGTGTGTGATAGGGGTCCTGAACTATATGTATGTAACAGTGCATACATATATATATATATATATGCTACCCCCCCCCGAGGTACCCAAGTTTGGGCTTGGTTCAGATGTGCTTTGACCGCGGAAGCAGGCAGGAAGAATAGCTCAGATTTGCACACTCGGAGACCAGAGGAAGGAGGTTTGCCTCATTGAAGAAAGACGCCTTGGACGTGACCCATGCCCTTTTTCAATGGCTCTTCCACACAAAGACTCTTCCACAGAAAATTCACACATCCTCTCACCCAACACATGTCTTTTTACATGTCTTCTTTCAATGGAACAAAGGCAGCATATGTGAAAGAGCTGCCAAGGAAAGGGCACCCTGTGTAGAATAAAGCCAGGCTATGGCTGGGACAGTTTGTGTTACATAAATGGTGGTTTTACATGATATTTGCTGTCTTTTGCTGTACTTTTATGAATTACTGTAACCCTGAATCTTCCACAAAGACCCACATATCATCTCGCACAAAAACATGTCTTTTTCAGTAACTCTTCTCTACAGCAAATTCACATATCCTCTGACCCAGAACATGTCTCCTTTCACAAAGGTTCACATATCCTCTCACCAAAACATGCCATTTTTCAGAGGCTCTTCCACAGAAAGCCCAGATATCTTCCCACACAAACCCCTTCTTTCAAAGACCCTTCCACAGAATATTCACACATCATCTCACACAAAGCATGTCTACAGAAAATTCATTCATCCTCTCACCCAAAACATGTCTTTTTGCATGCCTTCTTTCACAAAGGTTCACATATCCTCTCACCAAAACATGCCTTTTTCAAAGGCTCTTCCACAGAAAAATCACATATCTTCCCACACAAACCATGCCTTCTTTCAAAGACTCTTCCACAGAAAACTCACACATCCTCTCACCCAACACATGTCTTTTTACAAGACTACTTTCAATGAAACAAAGGCAGCATATGTGAAAGAGTTGCCAAGGAAAGGGGACCCTGTGTAGAATAAAGCCAGGGTATGGCTGGGACAGTTTGTGTTACATAAATGGTGGTTTTACATGATGTTTACTGTCTTTTGCTGTACTTTTATGAATCACTGTAGCCCTGACTCTTCCACAAAGACCCACATATCATCTCACACAACACATGTCTTTTTCAATAACTCTTCTCTACAGAAAATTCACATATCCTCTCACCCAGAACATGTCTTCTTTCACAAAGGTTCACATATCCTCTCACCAAAACATGCCATTTTTCAAAGGCTCTTCCACAGAAAGCCCAGATATCTTCCCACACAAACCATGCCTTCTTTCAAAGACCCTTCCACAGAATATTCACACATCATCTCACACAAAGCATGTCTTTTCAATAACTCTCTCTACAGAAAACTCATTCATCCTCTCACCCAAAACATGTCTTTTTGCATGCCTTCTTGCACAAGGAATCACATATCCTCTCACCAACCCCATGCCCTTTTTCAATGGCTCTTCCACACAAAATTCAATTCACATATCCGCCCACACAAACCATGCCTTCTTTGAAAGACCCTTCCACAGAATATTCACACATCATCTCACACAAAGCATGTCTTTTAAATAACTCTTCTCTACAGACAATTCATTCATCCTCACCCAAATCATGTGTTTTTGCATGCTTTTTTTCACAAGGAATCACATATCATCTCACCAACCGCATGCACTTTTTCAATGGCTCTTCCACACAAAATTCAAGTCACATATCCGCCCACACAAACCATGCCTTCTTTCAGAGCTCTTCCACAGATAATTCACATATCTTCCCACACAAACCATGCCTTGTTTGAAAGACTCTTCCACAGAAAATTCACACATCCTCTCACCCAACACATGTCTTTTTTCAAGACTTCTTTCAATGAAACAAAGGCAGCATATGTGAAAGAGTTGCCAAAGAAACTGAACCCTGTGTAGAATAAAACCAGGCTATGGCTGGGACAGTTCTTGTTACATACATGGTGGTTTTACATGATGTTTACTGTGTTTTGCTGTACTTTTATGAATCACTGTAACCCTGACTCTTCCACAAAGACTCACATATCATCTCACACAAAACATGTCTTTTTCAATAACTCTTCTCTACAGAAACTTTACATATCCTCTCACCCAGAACATGCCTTCTTTCACAAAGGTTCACATATCCGCTCATGCTCCGCAAATGTTGCGCAACATTTGGAATTTGTTGCGCAACATTTCCCTGGACCAAAAAAGCAAAAACCCAAAAACAAAAGAAACCAAAAAAAAAACAAAACACCAAAAACCAAAAACCAAAGAATCCCAGCCATGGTGGGGGCTAGGATTGGTTTTTTTTGTTTTTTTGGTTTTTGGTTTCTTTTTTTTTTTTTTAATTTTTTTTTTGGTTTTTGGTGTTTTGGTGTTTTGGTGTTTTGTTTTTTTGGTGTTTTGGTTTTTGTTTTTTTGGTCCACAAAATGGCTTGGCAGAAAATTCGTGAGTTCAATCAAAATACACTGTAAACATCAATGGTTTTGATACATGATGCAACGACACCTGGGTACTGGGGGGGGGGGTACCATATATATATATATATGTATGCGATGTGCGTATGTAGTGTAATGTAATGTAATGTAATGTGATGTGATGTGATGTAATGTACTTAATGCAATGCAAGGCAATGTAATGTAATGCAATGTAAAGTAAATTAAATGTAATGTACATTAAATGTATGTATGTACGCAATGTACTGTAATATAATATAATGTAATATAATGTAATGTAATATGATATAAAGAAATATAATGTAATATAGTATGAAATAATGTAATGTAATGTAAAATTTTGTAGTGTGTATGTAGTGTAATATAATGTAATGCAATGTAATGCAATGTAATGTAATGTAATGTAATGTAATGTCTGTATGTATGCATGTATGTAATATATGTATGTGACAACTGATATGTTTCCAACTGGAGACTTGCTTGTCACAGCAATTTTTGTCGGGGACATGTCTTCTTGAGCTTGCTCAGAAGCTTTCACGTGTTGCGCTGGCATGGCACTTGGCCAGCAACGTACGTATGTATGTATGTATGTATGTATGTATGTATGTATGTACTGTATGTATGTAATGTATGTATGTATTGTATGTATGTACGTAATGTAATGTAATGTAATGTAATGTATGTATGTATGTATGTAATGTAATGTACTGTAATGTAATGTAATGTAATGTATGTAATGTATGTAATGTATGTATGTATGTAAGTATGTATGTATGTATGTATGTATGTAAGTGTGTATGTATGTAATGTATGTATGTATGTATGTATGTAATGTATGTATGTATGTATGTATCTATGTATGTATGTATGTATGTATGTAATGTATGTTTGTATGTATGTATGTATGCATGTATGTATGTAATGTATGTATGTATGTATGTATGTATGTAATGTATGTATGTATGTATGTATGTATGTATGTATGTAATGTATGTATGTATGTATGTATGTATGTATGTATGTATGTATGTATGTATGTATGTATGTATGTACGTATGTAAATTGTATGTTATGTAACGTAATGAGTGTAAATTGTAATGTTA